AATTACACATTTTTTTTCTCAGTAACTGTAACTGATTACAGTTACATTTATTCTGTAATTAAATTACGTAATTCCGTTACATGTAACTAGTTTCTCCATATATATATATATATATATATATATATATATATATGCTTAGTTGGCAAGGCAACATTTCTAATTTTTTTAGTTTATTTTGATGTACTAAAATAAACTGATATACATTAATAAAAACTATATACACATATTTAAAATAATAAAAACAACTAATAAAAAATGTCAAAAACACAACATAAGTACTAAAAATATGAAAATTTTCAAAATATCAATAAAAATTGTAATAGTATCTCGATACTGAAATAACACTGAACCGTAATTATTCAACATTGAACCATACGTTTTGAACTCATTTCCCACTGTTCATGGTACATGGCCTTGGCATTGCTAGCACCGTGCTATACTGTTTGAACTACAGGAATATTTCAAATCGAGCACATTTTCTTTGAAACAATGCAAAAATGTAGTTTATTGCAAGTAGTACTTAACCTTAACCCAATGCATTGTTTACTTTTAAAGAAATAGTTCTGCTTTTAATTGACTGCAGAATTGATTTTCTTAGGTTCTATTCACACAGAAATATGTTTTTGCAAAACGCAAGACATGCAGTGGAATGGAAAAAAAAAATGCTTAAAAGCACAAGGTTTCAAGAAAAGTTGAACTTATTTTCACTTGAGCGTCTCATTATGTTGTGTTTAAAAACACGAGACGCAAGACCGTGGAATGAAAATGTTAAAAGCTGAACTACTTTTAACTTAACGCACTACATTTTTAGCGCAGTGTCATGCACGAGGTGCTACAAAAGACATGAGACACAAACGCAAGATGCAAACACAAACTGCACGTTCACATACTGTAAATGAACAACAGAAAAGCAGCACATTTTGCCCTTTACAGCAACACCCTGGCATTAAGGCTTTGAGTTTTCCAGAGGCGAGTACCACACTTTCTTCAATAAGATACAAACTAGTTTATTTTACCTAAAATTAGTTCTGACTGTACCTACATATTATAGTTTACTACAGCATTTAATTGTGCTTTCTATAGCAGGTGTATTGTTTACTTGACTCCATCCCAGTTGTTGGTTTCTTCCAAGCAGCTAGCGTTATGAATAAATGATCTGTAATTACATTAAATGTTAAGCAGAGCTGTGTCTGGTTGTATTTGTGTGCTCACCTCAAATTGCTTGTCAGTGTCCTTGCCTTCTGGTGGGAAAAAGTGTGTTAGCCCAGCTGGGAAGACTGTTTGCATACCGACAGACACGACTTGTGTACCTAGAAAGTTCAATAGTGCGGTTCCTTCAGCTCTCAGCATCAGGCCATATATGATGAGATGGAAGTGTGTTTTTGAGTGCTAACTTTTCTACTTCAGCTTTCTGTTTCTTGATGGTTTTGCAGCTTTTATTAGGCATTATATCTCTTTAGAAAGACTCTGAATATAGTGCACACGTTGTATGGACTACTTTTTTGGTGCTTTTTAATGTAAATGTCCCTGAAAAAGTTCTCAATTTATTTTAATAACTTTCAAATTTGGCTATGCTGATTTGTAATATTCAAATATAATTTCATGCTGCAAGAGACCCAATCACTCTCTCATTGGTTAATTGCAATAGTCTCCACCCACTTGTCCATCTCATTAATTACAGCTGCTCTGGTGTAGAGGAGGTTTAAAAGCTCTTGTGGTAGATCAGCATATGAAGGACTTTATGACTATCCGTGGATTTTTCTATTCTTCTCACTATCTGAAACGCTTTCTGTAGTCTCCACCCACTTGTCCATCTCATTAATTACAGCTGCTCTGGTGTATAGAGGAGGTTTAAAAGCTCTTGTGGTAGATCAGCATATGAAGGACTTTATGACTATCCGTGGATTTTTCTATTCTTCTCACTCTCTGAAACGCTTTCTCCATCTAGATTTCCTCCCAGCGGTATGATAATACAATGTTTTCTCCTCTGATCTCCCATCACTTCTGTGGGTTTTGTTGTTTTGGGTGTCTTAATTAGTTTGGGCCTCTATTTTGGGCTCCTCGGTGGGTGTTGTGTCTCCACAACATCTATGAAAAACAACATTTTTCTTTCGAGTTGTTCTGTCGCCAGTTTTCTTTAGAGTTTTTCTCCATCTTATTTTCACGTTCGACCGGCTAGAATGTCTTGAGTGAGGTATGCAACGCACTATTGTGACCAGATTTATTATTTATTTATTTTAAAGCTGCAAACTGGAAGGTAGTGTTATTTAATGAATGTTTATGTTCCTGAAAAGAAAAACATTAGCTTTTTTTAATTAATATTATTTATTTATTTAGTATTTATTTTACATTTAGTTTTATGTATTTATTTATAATTAATTTAATGTTTTTAATAAGTTTTAATAAAAGTTTTCATAAGTAAGTTAAGCTATTTTTTTTTTTTATTTATTTGTTTTTTATTTAGTTTATTTTAGTTTTTTGTATTTTTTGTTAGTCATTTAATTAGTAGTTCATATATGTATTATTTTTAAAGTGTTCACCACTTTTTCAGTTAATTGCCTTTTAATTAATTAATAAATATATATGTGTATATAAATTTTTTAATTTTTTTTGCAGTACATTTACATAGTCCTGTGGTGTTTATTTATTATGGTGGTGTTAAAATTATTTATTAATTATTATTATTATTATTATTATTACAAATAATTTTGTTGCTCTGTGCTCCTATATTGTTTATTATTTAAACACTCACATTGTAGCTGTGTGTTAATGCAATGCAGAAATTAGCAAAATGCATCTCTCTTTGGTTGTATAATGATTTTCTGTGTGCATGACCGCATTCTCGGCTTTATAGTGGTATTGTGAGTGAGTCCAGAGGCTGTGTGTTTCTCAGTTTGACAGGTCAGACAGCATTAGTGTTAGCTGACATGTGCTAGAGCTCACTGTGCTATATATCCTCCAGCAAAACACACACACACACAAATCATAATTCTTCGATCAGCACGCGGTTGCCAGGCATCGGTATGACAACCTGCCTGCATGTTTTATCATGTTCAACCTTTATCACATCATCAGACAATTTCCGTCCCACCATCTCGCCGTCTTATATCTACATCCCTGATTTCCTCTTCCCTCCTGTAACACGTCAGTTTTCCCTCCCGTTGGGTTTGAGAGATATGACTGTATCGTACACTGCTGTGTGAAGACATCAGTGTACATGAATATCACATCTTTACTGTCACTTTACACGGTTGCTTCATATATTACTGGATCAGTTTTTTTTTCAAACATTTTTTCAAACATGACAAGATACACAGCAAACAAGATGCACGTTTTATTTTCTTTTTGTTAGCTGCTTATAGTTTTATCTGCATGTTATGTTTTTTTTATCTTTTGAGTTAGTGTTTTGCTCTGGGATTTTAATAATGCCTAATAACATTAAAAATTGTACAGCACTTTGGTACAGTTGTTTTTAAATGTGCTTTATAAATAAACGTGAACATGAAGCAAAAAAAAACTGTCTAGTTTTTTATTTTTTAGTACTTACATTTAAACTTATTTTATTTCAGCTAGTTGCCCAGCCATTTCATTTAAAATTTTATTTTTATTATAGTGTTCACTGCTTTTTTTCATTTAATTCCCTTTTTTTTTTGCAGTACATTTACATGATGATGATTATTATTATTATTTAGTACTTCAGTTTAAACTTATTTTATTTCAGGTAGTTGCCAAGCCTTTTCATTAAAAAAAAACTTTTTTTTTTTTAGTGTTCACCACTTTTTTTCAGTTAATTGCTTCTTTTTTTGGCAGTACATTTACATAGTCCTGTGGTGGTAAAATGATTTATTATTATTATTTATCTAATTTAATTTTATGTAATTTTTTATTTAATTGAATTATTGCTTTATTTATTTATTTTTACATTTTATTTCAGCTTTATTGCAATTAATGAAAATTATTTTTAATAGTTTAGTTTCAGTTAACAATAATAACACATCTCTGAATCCAAGTTTGCATACTTCTGCAAAGTGTGTGTTATGAAAAGTGTGTGTATGTGTGATAGTAAAGCATGCAATTATAAGTATACAGTAAGCCAGTACACTGAAACTAGGACATACTACAACTTCATCAAATTAGTCTTGGAAACACATCAGAGAAACTAGTCCTCATTTGTAGCACATGGGGTTTTGAGTAATATTAGCCTAAAAGCATTCACTAATACAAATTGCATCAGAAATAACATACAGACAGTCACTTTAGTCATCATATTTTATAATACAATGATTTGGGAAGCTCTAATCCTAATCTTGCAAACTTCAACTTGAACTCCATTCAACATACCAAATATCCAGCTCTTGACCTTTTGCTTTCCACTTTTTCCTCTCCACAGGTTTTTAAGGAGAAGGAGAGAGGGAGAACTAGAAGAAAAGCTGGCGAGATAAAGTGCTTGTGATGTTGCGTGGGGATGATGCCGAATATCAGCGCCGCTATCACACTCTGGGCAGCAACACGCGCCGCCTCTCCAACCCCGACATGGAGGCCTATGCTAAGCTCCACAAGAGCGGCGACATGGAGCATCAGAGAAACAAATACCCTCCGCAGCACGCCGCCACGCTGGTCAACACCAACTGTGCGCGGCAGCAGGTAACACACGCGACTTTGTCTGTGTCTGTGTGTGTGTGTATTTGGTATGTCTACTCCAGATATGTTGAGCCTTGGTGATCGTATGGGAGATGCAGGTTTGAATCGGGGCCCGTTTTGTCCTGATTCCACACAGCTACCTTAGAATTAATGCTGCTCTATATTTATGCTCTGTTTAAATATTGAAAAGGCCTTTGATGAGTGTTTTTCCGCCTGTCTTTTGTTTTTGTTCTCCGTTTTCTGTGTTCCTGTCTCCTCTTCTGTCTGTCATACTTCCTCCCACCTCTAATTATCTCTTTCATCGTCCTCCTCCTCTTTGCAGTCAACTCTTTGAGTTTTTTTTTTTTCCTCCTTTTTTTTCCATTCTTTTGACCTGGACTAATAAGCAAGCACATAGTAACCATACATAGCAGTGTTACTTATTTAAATAATATTTAAATTTCTAGTCATATTTTTTAAATTGTTTTTTAATTTTTATATTTTCAGTTTTTCATTTTTAATAATTTTGTGCTTTTTGTCATTTTTATTATGTTAAAATATATATTTCTATATAGTTTTACATTTATTTTAGTTTTTGTTAGTAATTAGTTTAGTTAATTGCTAATGCTATAGCTATATATATATACAGTGGGTACGGAAAGTATTCAGACCCCCTTAAATTTTTCACTCTTTGTTATATTGCAGCCATTTGCTAAAATCATTTAAGTTAATTTTTTTTCCTC